CCAAGGACACAACGACCAGGACAGAGAGCCCGGGGATCGAACCGGCGACCTTCCGGTTACAGATATGCTTCCCACCCCCCTGAGCCACGGTGGAACCAGCGTCTTCATATAAAGGTAAAAAGAATAAGATGCTACCCTTTCCTGGAGAAACCTTAATTGCATATTTAGTGCTCCCATTTTGCTTATGTCCTGGCCCAAAGAAAAAGTCGAAATTGGAAGCCGCCTCATAACTGCTCTTGCTAGCTGATGAAATATTGAACACATATCAGCTGATTCCTCATTAATTATCGCCTAAATTTCCAGTAATAAGCTTTCTAAGTATAGGCCTTGGTAGTTCTTCCTACGCAGTGGAGTCACGTAGATGATTCAAAGGGCATAAAGCGAGGGGGGAAACACGTCTACTCTGCATCTTCAGGGTCTCTCCGTGTACATAATAACATTACTTGGACCCTCATGCTGGGATAATGCCGTCCTCCATTCTGCCAATGAAATAAACAAATGTGTGCATGTCTCATCCCTTTCATTTTAGTGGTGGGGAGAAATTAACAAACACAGGATTAAATCCCTGCCAGGTTTCACTTCTTGTATTGTTTTACATCTCGGGTCCTCGCGTTGCTAGGAGCTCATAATTTGTGCTAAGTGAAATATACAATGAAGCTTTTGATATGGGGGAGGAGTCATTTTGTAAGAACATGAAAAGAAAAAAGTGATAAATTCTGGCTTCACTGGAGCCTTTGAAGTCTTTTTACTGTTTCTAAAGCTGGGATGTTTCTTTCATGCTACATGGAGAAGAAGCAGAGAAGCATTTAAAGAAACCTTGTATCACATCCAACATGAAAGGGAAACTCTGCTGTTTGAGTTATTTTATTCAGAAGAAGAAATCCAAGTTTGAAACTTCGTCCCACTTGAGTTGTTTCTAAGTCTGTTCATTATTCCCAGTTAGTATTACTGGGTAGCTAGAACACTGACAGAGGTGGTAGTGTTACACATAATTACACATCTTTATCATTGTGCAAAGCATTGCACTAATCATGACAGTGTTTTTAATCTAAAACGTTAGTCATTTAGGTCTTTTTAGTCAGATGAAACGACAGCTGTGGTTAGTAGATTTGTAGGGATGGAGTCAACCCAAGACCTTGAGGAAGCTTCGGATTCCTCCACGACAAGCGGCGCCTTAAATCCTCTCAGCTATTAAAGGACTAAACCATTATTTACTCACAGGTGAGTTCACCAAATTCTTTTTCGTTTGGCCTCCCGTCCACACTGAGACGGCGTTTTCAATTAAAAACGTAGCGTCAGTGTGGACAGTGAAAACGATGAGTTTCTAAAACGACGACACATGTCAGTCATACGATGCAGTCATGTGACCAATTAACCCAAGATAGCGGAGTGGTTTTGTTTCGTTTCACGTAAATGGCCTCCTTGACTCGGCGCTCAAACCAGCGTTCCTCCCTGTCCAGGATGTTACATCCTCAGAGTCCAGGCCTGACGATGCATAAATGCTGGCAATCTTCTTGGCATTTACCAGCAGAGACTATGTTACTCTGTTTGTGCTGCGGGACCGGATTCTTGGGGTGAACCAACATTTTTTGCACAGCATGTTTTGGGGTTTGAAAGCCCGAACCACTGATCGTCAGTGGTGCTAGTTTCAGCAGAATCAACTTTTTGGGACATGCATTTGACCGTTTTCTAATAATTGTTAAATATTTTATATTTTAATCTTACATCTCAGCATCATCATGAACAAAAAAATCCATGTAGAGAAATTCCCCACTCTCCCTTAACCCATGGCCTATCCTGGGACCTGGTCTCCCGACCCAGGGGAAGCATTTCCCCAAACACCCTGAGAGGACACTGCAAACATGTAAGTAATCACATTTCAACAAGAAACTTCTTTACACCAACACTTTTTTCTCAAGACTTTACACACAAACATTTGTCTTGTTTTTGCTAACCAGTAGACCTTATTTGCTCCCAGTAAACATTTTTTCCTCCACACTTCCTAATGAGGAGCAGCTGTGCAGGTCCTAGAACAAAAGGCCTACTCGCTAATTATTATTAATTAGATCATTCATAAATACCCAATAAATATTCAATAAATAATTAAACTTCTTGTATGCAAATGGTCATATATATATATATATATGTATATATATAAAGAGAGAGAGATAGATATGTACATATGTATATATAATGTAAGTGCTGTACCAGTTACCACAATGAAAATACATATGTAAGGGAGACCTCTTCATTACAGAGCTACTGACTGGGGATATTTACAGGTGGTGGGAAAAACACTGAAGTATTCCATATAGTCCTGCTTAGAATAACATCCAGCCATTCGCTTCTGCTTCTCCTTTTCAGGGTTGCGGGGGGCGCTGGAGCCTATCCCAGCTGTCTTAGGGCGAGAGGCGGGGTACACCCTGGACAGGTCGCCAGTCTGTCGCAGGGCTAACACACAGAGCCAGACAACCAACCGCACTCACATTCACTCCTGTGGGCAATTTAGATCAATTAACCTAAGCTTAGAATAGGAAGACAAATGGATGGCTTAATTGATTAGCCAACTGTAACTGTACTTGGTTGTCAAACTAACACTTGAGTGTGGAGGCATTTTATATTATTTGGACAAAAGCACCAGGCTACATATAGATTACAACTACAGAACCTGGATGGCCATGGAAATCCATGCTACTTACCTTGGTTAAGTTTTTATACTAATGTTAATGCCAGCTCGGATAGCGAGGAGAGAGAACCTCACAAACCGATTTATCGCAACAGCATCATCCTATTACAGTATCATGCAGACTGTCAGCTCTTTGGAACAACCTGTTCTTCTACAGCTGTAAAAGCAGACATAGGACTTTATGCACATGTGACAATGAGACTGAAAATACCTGCATTCAAAGTTTACATGTGTCACATCTCCATATGATCTTAATCTGTGTGGACTGCTCTCTGCCTGCTAGGCTTTATTTGTTTACATGAATTCTGCATTCACATAAAAAGCTAGTATTTGAAGCACATTAAGTCATTCTACCCTCATTATTTTCATTTTAATCCATGTCCTCATTACCATGTGATTAGTGATTACTCTTTTAAAAAAGCAGCAGATGCAGAATCTCATTTTCAAACTGCTTTCGCAGAAACTCTGACACAGCCAGCAGATATAGCACCACTACTGCGTATTTCAGCAATTTAAAGGACATTTAAAATCAAGTTCTTGTGCAATTTTACAAACACGTACACAAAATATATAGCAGGCAAAAGTCGTTCTAGACTTTGTATCTCAATCTCTCCCCACAAGAACAGCACAGAAACATTTGTAAAGATCTGAGAACAGAGACACAGTTACTGGAACCGTTGGTGACCACAGATAACAAGCTAAGGCTGACCAGTATTCTTACTGGATACCATTATGCATCACAAGTGCATCACTTTGCCAAATGTGTTTTACAAAGTGTGAATGTGTTTCATTTCTTAATAAATAATAAAATCATCTTAATAAAGTTAATAAAGCTACTTATTCACAAGGAGTCATCGCAGCGGGTCGCTCAGACAACTTCCTGTCAAAGCGCCCAATCTGCAAAAAGAGTTCCTGAGATCTACACACTGAGAGCAGTGTAAGAGTTCGTGCACTTCCGTTTCTATGTATGGTAAGTATAGTTCATCAACTGGAAAACTGTCTGGAATGAACTTCTCATCCCCAGTATGTGCAAAAAGGTTCATCATTCCTTTATTCAGAAATGTGACCATTATGTAACAGTTGCTAACACACTCGACTGCACGTCTAGTTAAGTGTTACTAAAACATGACGATTACAGGCTGGTGTGTAATCAATAAGAAATGATTAAAGATGAAATAGCAGCAGTTGGAGATGGAAATATGGTATCATTAAACACAATGATGGAACATTAAGCTATTAGAATAATCGCTATTGATAAATGAATAATGTATTAAGAAATTAGCAGTTTGTAGGAGTCATAAAAAAAACCTGTCATTAAAAAGAAAGTGAGCTGAAAATGTCTCAGAGAGGGGAAATATCCACACGAAGAAAGGAGCGGCAACAAATCAGCAAACTGGGCAAACACGGCGCAGACACAACTAGCACTGACAAAATCATTACCAACAAACCCAAAAGGAGAGAAATCTAATTCTACACCCACAGCCTTCACAGACTGGGCCTGATTAAAAAGGCAGATTGAATGTTTAGCGTCTGAATCCAATTATTTTTGGAAAGCCATGCCGTGGCATTGTTTCTCTTTGATTTGTACTTGCCCGTCTGCCAGCTGAGGCACCTTGCTCACTGAGACAAAGAAAAGTTCCACCGTTTCGATTCTGAGATGTGATGAAAACATTAAATAAAAAATCTCGTTCCAAAATCTCGAAAAACAGGCGTGAATACAACACTGCTCAAACTGGGGGACACCAGTTAATAAAAGGACCAAATGGAGCCAATTTGAAGAGAAATGTCCTGATTACGAAACAAAATGTGTCATGTGACTTGTACTTTTTCATGTGTCTCCTGTTTAAAAAGAACTTGTAATATGTATAAAATTCTGACATAATAATTGCAATGCTATGATACAAATCCCCAATGTGGAGCAAACTCCTCCAATTGTAATAAAATGTCTGAATTGAGAATAAAAACAGTCCCATTCACTTTACAAACGAGGAGCTGTGAATGTAAGCGAACCTTAAAAGCACTTCTGATACTGCTGCTAGAACTTAAACTGAGGTGTCCCTTCCACTGCCTGCAGCCAGCATAACCGCTGCTGACTCAGAGTTCAGATCAGCTCAGCTCAGTTCTGAAAGAGGAGCTTACATTGTTTTAAGACTAGAAGGTTTTAAATACACGAGTGGAGTAAATTTGTATTCATTTCATTAATATTTGCTGGTATTTTGTGCTTCAGTAGTTTGTCTGAAAGCTGCTTGAGGACGCTACAGTCGCCCAGCTGCTGAGAAAAAGTAAACGTAAAGAATGTAACGCAAGAAAAAGCAACAATCTGATCAAGTTTTTAATAACACTGCAGGAAACTGCCACTAATGATGGAATAACATTAAAACAAGGAAAACTGCACAAGAGATCAGAGTTTTCCAACAGATACAGCCACGCATAGTGTGGACATCAGAAACATATTTGAATAAATAAAGCAGTTTCAGTACTGAACTCCAGCTAACAGGACAACAGTAACAGCAGAATGCAAAGATAACACACCACACCCATACAGCTAGAAAGAAGCAGATAAATACAGTATATCAATAAGTAAATAAATACATAAAGATCTAAATGTTTTGCCATATTTTTCCAGCTTGGACAATGTGGAGAAATACTAAGAACGGATCCTTGTCAGGATATTTTATGGACCCAAACATCTTTGGATAACGGGGGAACTAAAATGTACAGAAACCTCAACAACTCAGGAAAAGATAACAGGAACGCTGTAAATCCGATAATAACCCTCGAGGTCATGAACACTGCATCACAAAGCTTCACACGAGGTTGTTTACACTCACACACCTCACCCTTGATTGCATGTCCAACGCTCACTTATAGGGGCGGGGCCGGTGCAGGTGTTTGGTCTTGGCTCTCTTTGAAAGTCCAACCCGGATCGGCCGTGCACATGTTTTCAGCGGCTCTAGTCTCCTGGGCTGCTCAGGGGCTCCTGCACACAACACACACCATAAACACATCCTTGGTGACTCATGTGTCTTCTGTCTCAGAGCGTGACACTATATGCAGTCCATTTCCTACTAAACATTCTGCTCTCTATATTTTTAAAAGTTCAATCACTCCTAACCAGCTATTCCCGCACCTTCCTGTTTCTCTATGAGAGGTGTGTGTGTGTGACCAGTCAACAAGACATTTAATGTTCTCTGCCTGTGTTAGCTGGCACCAGAAATACTAATCAGTAAAACAGATAGTATTTGATGAACATGCAAAGACATTTACCTGTAGGTGTTACTACCTGGCTATCCTACATTAGCTGTGCCACTCTGTCTTTGAATTAAACAAATTAGTTGAAATGTAAGACATGTGACAGCTGCATGTGTTAAAGTAAATTGGCATATAACTACACAACATAACCACATTGTGCAGATGCATGTGGACATTAAATGCAAGAAAACAGGCTGCTTCCCCAAGTGCTGCTAATGTTGGCCACAATCATCAACCTGAGATGACACTGTGTGCGTGTTTGCAGTATTATACACAGCAAAAATAAGAGCCACACATTTCATATACTAACGCTGAAAAGATTAACATGACAGAGTAGCGCTGCTATTAGACTTATTCTGTCCTGCACAGGGCTGTGCGATATGACCAAAATCTCAGGTCCCGATATCAGACATCTATCGTCCGATAACGATATAAATCACAAAAATGTAACATTTTTCTGTAAATTCTGTGAATCTCGACTTGCATGAAGTGTTTCCAGCTGCGCGTCCTTTACCCGGAGTCGAGTGTTTTAACGATGCATGAAACGACACATTTTTAGACATAAGTTGTAACGGCCGCTGTTTTCTTTGTGAGTATTTATTACACGGCGTGCTGCGGGGAAAAGCTGTTCTAACGTTTGAGTCTAAGCTTTATTTTTTAGCACCTGACGGCTCTTTTTTTACTTCTCATCCGTAAATACTCTGCATCTTTCACGTGATTCAGTTTATTTTGAAAAGTCTCAACAGGATCTTGAGCTTTATTGTGAAAGGCTTATGTGGAACATAAACAAGCGGACATGCGAAGGCGTTACCGTCGCTGTTGCTAACAACAACGCATAAAAACAGGCGCTTGTCCGTCCGTAGTGTGGTTCTATTACATATAAGAGAAAGAGAGAACTTTAAGAAATGAATACAGCCACTACAGTGACATCAGAACCATGTAAAAATATTGCCGTAAACTGTTTTTGTGACACCACGAAACAAACGATAGCGTAAAATGAAACAATAGATGTTTTTATATCGTCATCCGATATATATCGAACAGCCCTAGTCCTGCATACAGAAAAGGAGAAAACATTGCATCTCCAGAAAGGCAGGTGGTAAGATTCCTCTCCTGTTAAACACTCAGAGGCACACTTGGGGTTATAAATGCAGTACAAACCCATTCTGTTCAAATGTCTATTTCTGACAAAGCGATTAGTCTAAAATATTACTGAATGAGCTACACTGTTCCCCTCTGGCCCCTCTTTAAATCCTGGAAAAAAATATGAATCCCATCCCAAGTGTTTTATCCATGAGATGTTTTTAAGTATAAGCTCAGCCTTTACATATAACTCACTGTGGCTCAGTTGTTCCATAAGAGTCAAACACATAAAGGATGGAGACCACACTTCCTGTTTGTGCTCCATCTCCCGGGGCTCTGAAAGCAGCATATTGACAGGCAGAGAAGAAGCACTCGCTAATTCTGTCCTACTGTATTTGCTGCTCTGTTTACCCTTCAGCCCATGTTTCTGCATTCGTGGAGCGCGTTATCGTTCCACCGCAGCATATTGTGGAAGGGGAGGGAACATTAATGAGAGTACGCTGTGTCAGGTTGAAATGACAAATCAATAAAAGTAATTATATTTCCACAGTGAATTAACCCAGCTGACCTTTTAATCACCCGCTGCTCTGTAAAAACAGTGTTAACTGAAAACAATGGAATAAAAGAGCACTTAACTCTAATTAAACAACTCTCATGAAATGTTTTTTTCAAGCCTGTCATTTTTCCTTCTGACGTTTTCAACCATGTTATTTATGTTAATCACAGAGACACTTTGTTGCTCCTTTTCTTCATAAATATATTCATCTTTGTTGTGTATTTCTTTTTAACAGAGGCCAGAAATATTGAATTAAATCAGCTGTGAACCTCTGTGTTTCTCTGCAACAGGAGCTTCCCGGCACAGGTGTCCGCTAAGAGGCACTTCCTGCTCTCCGTCACTACTGACAGCAGTCCGAGAAACCACCGGATCACCTTCACACACGTCCATGCTGTGGTCCTCGGCAACATCATCTAAAAATTTGAAAACAATAAACAGAAAACAATATATTTTTCCACTGAGCAGTCAAAATCAGAACAAACTGGCAGAATTATCAGGATATCCAAGAAGAATCAGTTGAGCTCCTAATTGAACCAATATATAGTTATATACAGTGGATTATGGACAGTATATACATGATGAAAGTCATCCATTGGTTTATAAAGCACTGTTAGGAAGCCTCTTGACCACTGTCACCTTTATCTGTTGAAAGTAACTTTAGGAAGGATGACTGAGAACCCTTGCTTCATTTTTCAGACGCTGGACTGAAACAGCTGAAGTTCATCAAACTTTTAATTCCATGTGAGTCAGTTCTACTTATTATTTTTGATAATGTTAACTATTTTGCATATCAAGTACCAGCTACTTTAAAAATATAATTTAATTTGCTTTATTTGCTTAAATTATATGACAGACATCTTTGGAAGCTTTTGATTCCTGGGGTCAATCTGACCCAAACGTAAAAGATATTAGTTTTTAGTTTTTGATATAACAGCTGGGATGATTTAACGTAAATGGAGTAAAAGTAAAATCTGCTCGTCTTTTATCAATTTTTCAGGTTCTTGCACTTATATCATGAACCAAGTTTAACAAATTGTTTTGGATTTTATTTCGCTTTGGGGGGTTTTTTGGTTGCTTTTACATCTTTTTGTAACATTACATAAAAACTAAGGTACAATAATGAATGCTATCATGTCATAGTCTGACCACAGAGTCTTATCATCTCTGTTAGTCATGAGAAACAAATACGTGTATTTCTGCAAACTATTCATTGATGATTCATTCGTCTGAGCATGCTAGCTTGGATTTGGACATGTAAATAAGGACAGTGTGCATGAGGGCTGTCACAGTACTAGAACTTCAAACGTAATACCGATACCCAGGAAACTACTCGTCACTTGAAAAACAACTAAGAGGCTCTTATTATTGACCACAGCTGTGAGGTGGTCCTTTAATAACATGAGATGACTAATGTGGTTATTTAACTGCTAACAGTTCAGTGGGTGACATTAAAGTATGCACTCGTAAGGTTAACGTTGTAGTAACAGGAACTTTACTGAGCTCTTTAATACTTCACAAAGTGTTTTTCAGTGTTTTGAAAGTCAGTAACAGGAAGTGCCGTGTGCCTGTCGGGGTGAAGTTAGGTCAACTGGAGGAGGTGAAGACAGCACTGCTGGTATTGATGCAGTTGCAAATTAATGCATACACTTAAATAGAATTTTAAGTATTGATTAGAGTTTAAGTATTAGTATTTTTAACAACCCTAGTTTAAACTGTGCAGCTGAAGTATCTTATTTGAACAGTCAATGGTAACGCCTGGGGTGCTTACTGCTGTATCTCACGGGCGCTGTCAGTATTACTGTGTTTGCTCTATCCTACGTATAACTACCTGATGCAGCGCCTCTGTGGCGTCCCACGTCTGGACTGGTGAGACGCTCTGTCCGTTCTGAAGCGCTGCCTTCCAAGACTTTAGTTCTGTCAGTGCACTGCTCAGGCGAGATGAAGTTTGCTTTGCAGTCGCTTTCAAAGTCATTTCTACTGATCTCAAAAAACAAATTCAGCTCTTTCAAGACCGAGTCGAACTGGTTTTTCATTTCAAACTCAGCACAGCTGTTCACACCAGAGGCAGGGCTGTCACTCTCAGCAGAAACAGTAGGGGACATTAACTCTGGGTTTAATTCATCCTGAATGTGCTCAGAGGAATCACGGACCGATTCACAGTTAGGCTCTCGCTCGGGCCATTCGAGAGCAATGGCATCTGCTCCTAAGATGAAGTTTGGGAGTTCATTACAGGCAGAATCGCTGCTAAGAAGCCTGTTTGCCATGTTCTCAGTGATACACTCCTTCTCTTCTGGTATCCTCTCACGCATGTTGCTTTCTGCCACTGACATAAAGTGGTATAGCAGCTGCCCAGGCGAGCTGACGAGGACAGGGATGTTGCCCGCTCCAGTGGCGTCATCATCATCTAGTGAGAGTTGGATCTTTTCAAAAGTGTCAAACCCCTCCGGCACTAGGTTACAGAGAGCAGATGGCAATGGGGAAAATCTGTCAATGCAGTTTATGGAAGTGGGATTACTGTGAGCCTTCTGTGAATGGCTTAAATTGCCCTGACACGGTACGACTGCATCGCTTGTTGAAGGCAAACTGAAGGCTGAAAAGTCAGCTTTATTTTCAGCTTTGTCTTGGCAATCAGAGACACAACTAAGCTTGTGTTCTTGTCCATCTTCGCTTCCCAAGGGCAATGTGCTCCACTCTGTCCATTCATCAGCGCCATCACCAGATGACAGTTGAGTCACGTCTGCTTTGTGGTCATTTTGCTGCTGAACATAATCCTCAGATTGCACCAGTGTTGCTGAGTTTTCAGGCCCATCAGTTTTCATTTCGTCTCCAACTTCTGTCACTTCTTTTCTTTCCTCTTCTCCCACTTCTGTCATGGAAATATCAGCACTGAATGGTTGGTCAGACAAACGCTCGAGCTTGCTTCTTTGTTCAGTTTCAGTGAGCTTTAATTCACTGTCCCATTCATGTGCTTCACCCTCGCTGCATTCAGCCTTGCAATCACAAGTAAGTAGTTCAGTTGTGTTATCCTTGTGCAGTCCATTCTGCAGTAGCGGTTTTTCCTCCAACTCCACTGTCCTCTTCGGGTTCATATAGTCATTCATCTCCAATTCTTTCACAAAACAGATTTCTTTGCTTTCTTTTATCACAGCTGTCATGTCCACGCTGTCAATTTCTCTCTGTGAATGTTCGACTTCCGACGTCTCCAGGGGATCAAGCCTGACAGAAAAACAGCTGGAGCGACTCTGCTCTTTGAACTCGTGTCCCATGGAACCGTGGCTTCCTTGTATTGCATGATCCCCAGGAGGGAGAGGCTTTGTAGGGCTCCTGCTGAACCTGGATTTCCATTGACAGTCACATTCAGTGAAAGTCTTGTGCGTTTCATTGGTGGTGACGGAAGAAGACTGTAGTCCTGCCTGACAGAAGTCATCGTTTGCACCTTCCTGATGCCATGTCCTGCTTTCATTATTAAAGCACTCTGTCCGGTCGGGACATGAAACCTTTTCTGATGTCCTCATGTGGGAATGGAGTGGAAGAGGCATTTCCATCTTGTCGACTTCTACTGATGGAGATAATTTGGGACCTGCGGCGATTGCTGAGTTACAGCAGTTTTCTTCAGCTTCCCTGTCAGTTTCACTACAGATCGCAGGGTCAATTACATGGAAAGGGCCTTCATCATTATCTCCTTCAGCCGGCTCTTGACTGATTCTAGCCGGCAACGTAGTCACTGTTGTGTGATCAGCTGTTTCACTCTGAGCTTTGGCTATTATCTTGCAAGCACCATCCGCTCTTTTTTCCCCACAGAGGTCATCAACATCGAGATTCGGGCTCTCATTTGCAGGATTTCTTTCTAACATCACATCATGAGAAAGAATTGATCCTTCACCGCATACAGCAGCAAAAAGGATGAGGGCTTTCTTATTAACTTGGCCTTCTGTTTTCCCATCACAGACAGAAACATTTTCCTTCTCACAGAACTGTAATCCTGAATCATTTTTTTCCTTTTTCCCAGCTTCTACCAAGTTCCCAGAGGGCTCTTCTACAGGGTCTGAACAGAGTGGTTTAGAATCTGCATAATCACTGGAAGATCTCTTACTCTCACTCTCTTCCTTAGTGAAAACAATATACTCATTAAACTCAGGTTCAGTCCTCTTCTGAGTCGTCTCTACAACTTCAGCAAATTGGTTCCTTGTGCTACAGTAACCTACGTCACAGACTGACTCTTTATTAGTACAATTAGGCTGACATCTGACCTCTTCATTTCTCGTCTGCATTTCATTGACATTTTTTTGTACCTGTCTCCCATATTTTTCATTTCCAGTGGAAGGACTGCAACCACCAGGGGTTTGATCTTTAAGGGATGTCCCTGGTAGCCTGCCATCAGAATGACTGGATGTGTTAGTACTGGCTATGGTGGCAGACTCTCCTAATGAACCATCTGTATCATCTGACTGGTAAAAGCTGAGTTTGTCTGTTTCAGTAACTGGAAGCTGCTCCTCTTTCCCCAGGAGTAGGTAGCTCTCAGTGGGAACAAAACACACTCTAGATGATTCCACGTGTGTACTCTTATTGTATGAAGTCACCTCAGTATTAGGACTGACGTCAGACTTAGTGTCTTGTGGTCGCTCCTGAGATTTCTCATCTTCCAAACATTCAAATGTGCTAATCAGGCCTTCGGTTTTCTGCAGGGTACTTGCTGATGATGGGGAATGATTAGTTTTCCTAAATGTCAAAAGCTCTGGAAAGTCGAACTTGCTTAACCCACTGTGGTCATTCATCACTCTACACTCAGGTCTGGATCGTTTTGGGGAGGGTGGTGACGTGAGCTCCCTCTCTGTTTGTGAGATGTCATCATCTAGTGGGACTTTCATGTTCTCATCGAATTATAAAACCTAAAAAAAAGCCCACCACAGTGTGAGCTCTGCATCTGGAAGCTGCACAGCTCAAATCCGAGTGTTACTCGTCAAATAAGCAATCATGTCCAGAATGTTGCTAATACAAAACTTACTGTTGGCAAATAACATTTTTAGGAAGAAAAAACACGGTGCAGAGGCTGGATTACAAAGGCATCATTATAACAATGCTGGTGAACAATGAGCTACTTCATCATGTACAAGAGTGCACATTTCATTACACAACAGCACGTGCAGCATCTCACCTTATGACTCCAATCACATGGAAGTAATCCCCCAACAATCCTTTAAAGAAACAAAAGATAATATTGTGTTATTCTAGTATCAAGTACTGATGTGGTTTCTGACCATACCACTGACGGTTACACACTATACACCTCAGTACCAGTACTTTGTGTACAATGAGCATGATAAGCCTCTTTTTATAAGATATTTTGACTGATCAAATAACATATTAACGAGTTTTACTAGCATCTTTTACATCAGCTCCCACAGCATTCAACTGAGCCATGATCCTATAACCTAAAACAGAAACAGCTGAGTGGAAGTCAGTCAGCATTCATTTCATGATTTGTGCTTCTAACATGTCAAACTGCTGCCATTACCCACACAAAAGACAGAAGGAAGAATTTCAGGACAACAGGGTGCCTGGCATATCCTGTCACACATAAATGCTGTAACGGTCTACTACATGATATATACACTATATGGAGAGTATTGGGTCACATCCCTTAACGTTTGAATTCACGTGTTTTCAGTCCCATTGAAACAGGTGTATAAAACCAAGCACATAACCGTGCAGTCTGCCTTTATAAACATTTTTTAAAGAATGGATTGTCCTAAAGAGCTCAATGATTTCAGGTATGCTACTGTAATAGAATATCATCATTGCAACAAGCCAGTTTGTGATATTCTAATCAGCTGTGAGTAGAATTAATCCAAACTCAAAGCATTTAGACACCACAGCAGCTCAGCCACAAATGGCACACCAGCTAAACTTGGAGCAGGGCTGCTGAGGTGTATAGTGTGTCAAGGTCACTAAAGCTCTGCTGACTCAATTTTCTGTAAAGCTCCATTAACATCAGCACAAAACTATGCACCAGGAGCTTCATGACAGCTGCTGTAGGTGTAGCTTGTAGCTGGCTTAATAAAACAACCACAAAAGAAATTCTCCAAAGACGGAAAACAGGTGTAGATGTTAATCACCACTGTCGTGAACAACGATCAAAAAACTAAAAAATGCCACGATGAAATATTTCATTACTGTACTCATGCTACAATAACAAGGTAGTGTCCTGTAGCTAGCAAAGGTAAAAAGAGACTTAGGTTTGCTAGCTGTTAGCCTTCATTTAGCCTTTACTTTCTAGCCATTGCAACAGAACAGTTCATACAAAGTGCCTGCCTCTTCAGAGATCCCTAAATTACTCTTTAAAGTCACTTGTAATAGTGTAACTTGGTTTTTGTATGTTAGGTATAACTGCTTTATAGAGGTAATATTTACAAGTGAAGCTAGCTGGCTTCTCACTAGCTTAGTTCGTGATATTGCTATAATAATGAAAGAAAACAGACTGCGACTTTGTTTTACACTGTAAGCTATAATGATCACTGACTCTCTAGATGCTGTGAGTTTGCCCCACGGTTGTTACCTTCTGAAGGAAAGCTTTTTCACCAGGCTGCTGTATTTACAATCGCTGGCTAACCGATGTCCCACATTTGGCGCGAAACTAACAGGGCTGATTAATATGACGTAACTAAGGCTTTAGCTAACATAAAGTCAACACCATCGATATTAGCCTCTGCTCTTTAACACATTGAAATGTGTATTTCTGACACTGGAAGGCAAAGAAAGGTTTGTATTACTTCACAAAATATTATTGGGGACACAAACGCTGGTGTTTGTCTGCTCCTCGCTGCCTTTATTGTCTGTATCGGTGATCCACAGCCACAGGCTGGCAGCGGGAGCGAGGCAGACGCACACTGCGCGCTCTCTCAGTATCTGTCTCCTCCTCTCAGCACATCAGCAGCAGTTTGTGTTGCGCAGCATCATCCTACGGACCTGCACAGCTTCCTCTCTGTAAAAGCCCGACTTCTCCCCAGCATTAAACTAAAATTAAATAAATCCAACAACCCAAAAGGCACCGCTAATCTTCAGCTCGACAGAAGAGCATTTCTTGCAGTTTGCCGTGCTCGCAGGTGTTTTCTTTCTCTTTTCTTTCTTTTGGACCACTCCAGACACCAGACCGGACTCCACACTCGTTGACTCCACACTCTCGCAAGGTAGGATGAAGGCTTTGCGTAAAATCTTGACAGATGCAGGAAAATCTAATTATTATTGTACTGCTCGGCATCATCTCAGTTTATATTTATTTATATTTATATCAGCATGATGTAACTCAGTGCGTCATCCTTTCGGTATCATAAGGCTAATGTATCGATGTATTGTGGTTGAAGTCCATTTTAATAAGGACACACACACACACACACACACATATATATATCAGTACAGCCTTCTGATCATATCGCATTAGATAAACATGGTTGTTTCTTACCTGGGTTTACTCTTGCTGCTTACGCACACACAGGC